TCTAAATCAAGTGGCCACTTTAGTCTCTCCCCACACTCATGAGGATATTAGAAAAAAAAAAAAAAAATGAAGGAAGGAAGAAAGAAAGAAAGAAAAGAAAGAAAGTGAAAGTTTCTAATCTCACATCTCCTCTAGTCATCCCAAGAGTCTAGTATAGTCTTGGCTCAGCTTGGACTTTTCAAGAAATTCAAATGCCATAGGGCTTGATTACAGCATGAGGGAGGGTGGGAGAGGAAGACTGGATTCCAGGGCCGAGAGTCATTGTGTGTAGTGGTGACTCATGACAATCAGTGGTGACAAGGAAGGTATGAGGAGGTGACATAGTCAACAGAGAGAGTTGGTAGAGAAGGATAGTCTAGGGAGAGCTGGTTTCTTTGGGCCCCACAGAGTGGTGTTCCTAATGTGAGGGGACAGTGGAGGGAGGGTGGTGTGGACTGAATTGCGTCCCCCACAATTCGTGTTGAAGCCGTAACACTCAACATGACCGTATTTAGAGATGGGGCCTTTAAAAAGGTAATGAGGTTTCAGTGAAATCATCAGGTAGGGCCTAATCTAATATGGCCAGTGTCCTTACAAGAAGAGGAAGAGACGCCAGGGATGCACACTCAGAGGAAGGAAATGTGAGGACACAGCAAGAAGATGGCTGTCTACAGGCCAGGAAGAAAAACCGAACCTGCCAACACCTTCATCTTGGACCACTCAGCCTCCAAAACTGTGAGCAAATAATATTCCGTCGTCTAAGCCACCTAGTCTGTGGACTTTGCCGTGAGAGCCCAAGGGGACTCATACAGAAGCTACAGCCCAGGATCTCACTCTCCACTCTGAAGGACCAAAAATGTAATTTTCTCATGTATGCACTAGATAATCATTTAAGGGCTGACTCAAATGTACCAAACTCATAAAAGGTTGCTATATGAACTAGAACATATCGACTAACAAAGCAAAAATAAAGCCTGCAGGACAGCTAGAATACACACTGCTGCTAGTAGTGTTTTCTCTCTCCATTGGAAAGTATTTAGGAAGCTAAATCATTATTTGAAAGTCACTTGGTGAGCACAGTTTTAGAAGAAAGAGAAGTGGAAAGTATTAAAAGACACTGCTGTGACTCATGTTGCCAGTTACATGGGTCTGTGACCTGAGAATGGGCTTTAACTTCTTTGTCTATTCAGTTTATTATGACTCTAATGCCCACCAGCCTTCTTCCTTCAAAGTGCCTTCCTAGTGATTTTCAGGCATTTCCAGAGTACTGCTCCTGGCAAACTGTACCACATGTCCCTGTGTCTGCAACCCTAAGGAGCCTCGTGAAATAGCTCCCTGGTGTGGTCAGCTGCCCCTCATGCTGACCACTCTGATGCTTCCACTCTGTCTTCTGCTTGGGGATCCTGTTGCCACTAATTGCCCAGAGAATAGCTGAGACCAGACAGTGATTTTTATTAATTTAAGTAAAGTAGGAACACAGAAAATGACGCAGAGATTACTGTATAACCTTAAGAATCCCTGAGCTTGCCACAGACTGCCACAGTGCAGGAAACGCCTTCAACACCAACTCCCATGCCCCCAGGCATTTAGTCACCCCACAAATTGAGTTTAGACCAAACTGGACCTCAGTGGATGTCCTCTCCTCTCCCCCATCCTACCTCAGGATGATTGACATGTATTCTCTTTGCAGAGAGAAATCCTCACACTCACAAAGCAGTATGAGCTCCATGGCTCCTACAGGGCGATTGCAATGGTCAGCAGTCCTCTAAGACTAAAACCTTCATTTCTAGACGGTCCCACCCTCTGACAATGCCATATATATGGATGTGACTGTGAGACACCCCCACTAATTTTTAAGAAAGAGATTCCATATTAGCCCCTGAGTGAAAAACCAGTAAATTAAAACAACAGACATGATTCATTCTGTTCAAAGTCACCTTAGAGGTTAGAATTTCTCAAATAAGAAGGAAGCAGAAGAAAAGCAACTGATGATTGACCAGATGCAAAAGGAAACTAGCTTATTTGAAGAGAGAATAGGTGAGCAGAGAATGTTGTCTGCATGAAAGGTAATAAAGGGTATTGGATGATGAGGAGGAATTCATTAGGGTTCAGCCAGGAAGAAGAAACATTGAATCCAAGAAATTCAGTCACCAGAAAGTACTTTTTTGAAAGCCGTGGTTTACAGAGAAGCAAAGATGCAAGCTGGGAGAGCAGAGTGAAGCTGCTTCCTCATTTCCCAGATGGGCCCCACCTTTCCTCCCTTTGGAGTGTGGCTCTTATTAAATTAATTAAACAAGGAGGCCATTAGACTGATGTGACTCTGATGTCCTGGCAGCCTACTTAAATAAACCAAAACCGAAGCCCGTAAACGCCCCAAGGCTATGAAATCAAAAATGCTAAAGACATCTAATGACAAACTGTCACCTAACCTTTAAGCTATAGCCAATCAAATAATTTTCTTCCTTTGCTACTGCATTTCTCGATGTAAGCCTTTTCTTTGGCTCCTGTCAGTGGAGTGCTCCAAACCACTTCCAGTCTGGCGCTGTCCAATTCCAATAGATTTTTTGTTCAAACTCTTCAAATTTTTAATATGCCTCAGTTTATCTTTTAACCCTCTTGAGAAGTCACATGTATTTGGCTTCTGTTTTATAGTTCAGAGGGTTTCATTGGGGTCTTATTTGCTGTAGTCACCTGTGCAGGGAGCAAAGATGGATGTGTTAGACTCCAGCTGTTGAGAGGGCCCTCAGGCAACACTGAAGGGCCTGAAAGTGGCAGAACTGATCTACAACCAAACTTCAGATTCCAAGTCAAAGAAACTTGCCCTATAGGACTGTCATCCAAAACAAAATGCTCGTCTCACCAGATCTGTCCCTGTCTTGTCAAGCCTCATCTTGTCATTTCTCTTTCTTGCTGGCTTCTAAATCCTTCCCCTTACATTCCTCCCAATTTGCCATGGTTATTCAAGGTGCTGTGCCTGGACTGTTACGGGAATATGTAGAAATCTCACAACAACATTGTTCTCCCTATTAGCCCTTTGTGATGCAAGCATTCTTTATTTGTCTTAAGATTTTTCGATTAAGGAAAAACTGAACTATAGAATTACAGCACCTACTTCTTTTCTCTTTTAGCAAGGAGTCCTCAGGCAAGTTGACACTAACCTGAACGGTCCCAGGAAGAGAAAATTGGGAGGAGAAAGAGGAATAACAACCATTTATCACTGGTTGTTAGGAGGTGAAGCAAAACAGATACGCTTTATCTCTGCAAACCCACATTAAGCTCATGAGATGTAAAATGGGTGGGAAATGGATTACGCTATAGATTATTTTCTTTGCTTATTTTCTTGAATCTCTGTGACCCTGAAAACTTAGAAAAAACCTTCAACATTGAGAAGGAAGACATTAAAATGAAACCAAGCCAGAATGAGAGATGGATATCATTTACATCAGAAATCTGCTGGTCTTTGTTGTTAAGCAAAATCTGTTAGACCGATTTAATGGGGACAGCTCAGTCAGAGTGGGGTGAATTTTGCTGAAAGAAAACGTTATGCATCTATTCTCTTTTTCCTTCGAGTCTAAAGCAGGTTCTGACATTATCTATGCTCGAAAGTCTGGTACTTAGTGGCCTTATATTTGCATAATGACTATTCTTTTGTAGCTTTTGCCATCCCAGCTAATTGCTTTAGAATAATTTTGCTACATCTGTTGGGTTTTACCATGTTCTCATAGAAACAAAATCCACAATCCCAGCCAAATACACACCAAATTATATAAAATTTTGGAACATGGGGATGTTTGAAACATCCAAAATTCATATGATTTGCCTAGTGACATGTTTGATGCTTGATCAGAAAGAAAGTAAATAATCCAGAAAGGACATACACTCATCCAAAAAATCCTGGTTTCTATGTCCTCTATACATCTCCATGATGAAGCATCTTCTTATTGACAGAATCTAAGATTCTGGTTGCTAGGAGATTCCACATGCCAGACAGTTCTCAGACTCCTTCAGGTAACCCTGACAGCTATTCCAGACTGCTGGAAAGAAGGATTCTGATACATACAAGCAATAAAATTCAAATTCAGGACTAATCATGGTCTTCTCCACATAGAGATTTATTCTCTTCTGTAGCAGAGAGTGCGTGGAATCCTCAGACCCCCAGAGGCTGGGCTGGTGCTCATCTTCTGTGACTGGTCCCTTTTCCAATTAGGTGGCACTGGGGCTTGTCCCAGCAAACAACAGAAAGTTGTTCTGTTAAAATGGTAAGCACAAGGACTTGGATCAGTAGCTCTGAATTCTTCTGATTAAGAATTCAGATGCCCAGTGTGGTGGTTTTTTAAATTCTTTGACCACCGTGTTGTAAGGAAGCCCAAGTCCTATGGGTCCTGGGAAGAGAAAATTGTGAGGAGAAAGGAATAACAACCATTTATCACTGGTTGTTAGGTGTATTGTTACATGGTGAAACAATGCAGAAGTCACATTCAGATGGTCCAGCCAACAGCCTAGCTAAGGTGTCAGACAAACCAAGGATCAACCACCAGACCTGTGAGAGACTGAGCCTTTAGTGAGTCTAGCCCCCAGCCTTCAATCTTCCAGCCATGGTGAAGCAGAAATGAGCCATCCCCTCTGCATTATCTGAAGTCTTGACCCACAGAAACTGTGAGGGATAATACCTGATTATTGTTGCTTTAAGCCACAAAAACCTGAGATGATTTTTTACTGCATAGTGGTCTTGAATATTACTAGCACTAAAAAAGAATACCCCTAATCAAAAATTAATGAATTAGTAGTCTAATTAATATATCACTCTTGTGAATTTGAATAACATGAATCATTTCTATTAGAGACTCAATATCTATGGGGCATTCATAATCAGGTTGTTAACTCTATAAAGCTGAAAGCCAACCAGATTGCGGTAATTCATGGAGCTTAAAACGCTTAAGAGACCAACCTGAGGTAGGTTTTAAAGTTTCATCTCTTATCACACTGGAACTACAACAGCTTGTTTTAAAATAGTCAAATAGATCTCTTCTTGGCCTTTTGGCTAAGATCATGTGTAGTATCTGTTCTTATCAGTTTAATAAAAAATAAAATAGCCAGATAGAGAAGATGAGTACATACATTAAATTTAGTTTGGTTCAATAAAAACAGTCCTTTTGTTTAAGTGGTTTTTGTATGGATTTACAATTTTCTACACGATATCCCACTCCCAGAGGTGTATGTGTGTGTGTGTGTGTGTGTGTGTGTGTTTTATGGTTCACTCATTACATAAAAAAAAAAAAAGGCTGAGGCAGAGAAATGTAGGGGCCTGCCAACTACAGATCAATCAGAAATAAAAACTTATCATCTTGGAAATTTTTGCACAACAAATCAACAAATATTATCTCATTTAAATGGAAACATTTATTACACCAAGCAAGATAAGCCTATATAGCACCAAATTATATGATATTGCTTATGTCCATTTTTAAAAGATTTTTTCAAAGTGTTTTTATATCTTGAAATAGTGAGAGAATAGGAGGTCAAGAAATATCTCGGAATTACGCAGAAATACTCCAGACTTTGGACCTCCACTCTGCAGTTATGGAATCTCAACATTCTGTTCATCCTGGGGTGACTAGGCCCAGGGAATAACAGGTCACAACATTGTTGGGTCACAATACTCAACCTCAAATAAGACTAATTTGATGCAGAAAGCCAATTTCAACATTTACAATGAGAAATATATCTTTTCACTGGGAAACCTACTTAGGAAACAGAATTGAGATTTTAAAAGATACATGTGATCAAAACTCAGAATGTATGTCTGAAAGCATATTCCAGACCCTGCTCATCTGGACACCTTCTCCCCACCTCCCACATTAAACAGTGTCAGAAAATGTGCCCAATTTCTATCAACCTCTTTCAATAATTTAACTTTCTATTTCTAGTTCTCCAATCCTGTTTCACAGCGATAGCGCTTCAGGCAATACCAACTGTCCTCTTATCTCTAAATGAGAACAAAAGGACTGTTGTCTTTATGCTGTGAAGCAGTCAGATTAATATTAACAAAAACTCCAGGTCTTATTTATCAGTTTCTCTTAAAGCCCAGATCCTGTTGCCAATATCTGTCAGTCCCACCCCAGTCATCTTCTCACAAAAGGCGCCAAAGTCCCAGAAATCTTTCTATATTAATTGTACTTTGCCCTATAAAGCATGGGGGAGGGAAGTGATTTGAAAGAGAAACAGTAAATTTCTAATTCGAGGATACCAGAGAAAAATGGAGAGAAGAACCTGCCACCTTCTATCTTGAGTTTGACATTAGGGGAAAGAACTGAAAGGATGAGAGCAAAGGCAACAGTAGCCCACCTCCCCGCATCCCACCCCTACTGGCCAATTCTCTCTTATCTCTCTTTCCCCACCTGTTCCCTTTGGCCACTGTCATTCCTTTAATAAATTTTCCTTTGCAGCTCTCTCGCTCCTTGAGAGGATTGCACTCTACTCAAAGGTAAACAATTTTTTAAATCTCTGTTCCTTCATGAAGAAGTCATCACTAAACACCCAACACAATAAAATGGACTAATAGTTGCTTAACACCACCAGCAACAAGTGGAACAAGGACCAGCCTGTGGTGAGGTCAACTGCTACTCACATGTTGCAGTCATGTGCTGCCTGGTATTGACCGCAGAGAGACTCGGCTCTCTGGTCACCAGGTTTCATATAATTTGCTTTCCCCCTTATTAAATTACAATCATTTTTCAGTCCTTTGTTCCAAAGTCAGCTAGATTGGAGGGTTGGATATTTGCAAACTTTTCAGACACACTATTTATTTACAGTTTACTTCCAAATTTTCTATCCAAGATGTATCTTCTTCATGGAGATTGAGATAAGTCAATGCCATTAACGAGTCAAACCAAAAAACTCCCTTTGCTCTGATGCAGCACTCTTCAAACACTTGGATTATAATTTGGCTTCCTTTGTACCTTGCCTACAAGATGCCAAAGGACAGATCTGACAGCGTGAGCATTCCGATCCATTTGTCATTGCTGTTGCTTTTTATTGATTAATAAATGGGTATACATTACACATTCACCTCAATGTGTGTGCGAGTGTGTGTGTGCGCGTGTGCGCGCGCTCATACCTCAGTCTATACAAGTAATGAATGAATCTTTTTTGAGGTTTCTGTCAAGGCCAAATAAATGAGAAGTCAGGGCTGTGGAACATGCCCCTGAAGGCAGTGAACTGCTTGGGGAGACCCTTGGGAGCAGCAGTCGGTCTGCGCCTGTCAACAGACACCCTCCCGCAGCTCTTGAGCTCATATGTTAACATTCAAAATGGCAGTGATAGAAGAGCATATGCTTTAAGAAAATGTAACAGGTAATAATTCGAACTTAATTTAAATCAAAAAATTAGAGGGCTTCGTTTGTATAAAACTTCATCTTCAGTTTCAACATTGTTTTGAGCATTGCAAATAATTCTAATTTTCAAAATAGCTTCTTTTATGAATCATTAGATAAGTATATGCATATAAGTATTTTGATGTTACAAACTAGAAAGTGTATATCACACATACACATACACATGACATTTTCTAATTTACAAATTGGAGAATGTAGAATTTGAATTCTCAAAGTCACAAAGAGTTAAAAGTTGATGTAAAAGTCACAAAGAGTTAAAAGTTGATGTAAAATTCGGTTAGGGTCAGCTTGTCTCTTTCTTTCTTTTTAGAATCTTATCATTCCTATCATATTATTCCATTACATTAAAAAAATAAGAATTAAAAATACTTCATAAAAAACGAAAGAATTAAAAATACTACAAAATATGAGAGTTGTGTTATTTCTGTCATAAATAAGGAACTAAAGGTAAAGCTACTTAACCTGGCAAGAGTTAAAAATTCTCTACAGTGTTACACTGCCTCATATGGAGGAAGAGTTATGCTAAATATAGAACATTTGAATGCATGCAAAGCCAAAATGGTGAATAAGAAAAAGGAAATAACAAGCTGTGGGCCAGGTGTCGTCCTCCCCAAATAGAAAAGTTTGTGTGAATATCGGGAACTCTGGAATTGTGTTATCAGTCATTTGAGGACAGACTGAACAATAATTGTCTTTATCTGCAAAGAATTTCTGATTATCATCAGACAGTTGATATGTAATATAAAGAAATAAACCTCTAGCACAAATTTTTCTAATTATCATATAATACTAGAGGGTATAAATATGGTTTTCAAAGCTATTCATAGTCCTTGGTTCTTGGCTAGCAATCCTAACAATTTCTTGACATAACACTTCCTTTTTCCTTTAAGATTACATGCTAAGGATAATTTTCCAGGTGGTGTGCATTCTAAAAGCTTTCTGCTACTCTTAACATTATTGAAGAAAGCTTCTTAAATGTTGAAAGGTATGCTCAAGGGACATAATAGCTGCCTTCTGTAGGGAGACAATTCTCCATGGGTCCCTTGCATTTCCTCATGTCTTGCGAGCCTGAGCATTACCTGGCCTTTGAGTTCAGATTGCCTTTTCCAGGATGTTTGTACAGTAAACAACCTTGGAAGCTAGTGTACAGGACAATAAAGCTAACATTTCCGAAGGTCAGACAGGTTTACTTATAGCTTATTATAAAAGATATAAATGTTTTATAAACAGCAGTTTGAATTTACATTGTCCCCCAATCAAACAGTGGAAGCCCACAGAGTCAAATGAATCAATGAAGACTGGACTTTAAACTTTTGTTTAAATTAGGAAATTTGGCCATGTGGGCAATTTTACTCCATTTTGAAAACAGACTGTAGTCTGTGTTCTTAACAGCAAGCCTTCCATTAATTCTTGCTTCAGTGATACAGCTCAGTATCAGCTGTGCTATGGGGCCTTAAGGAAGGGCCTGGATTGGCCACACTTGGGGTCAAGCAGCACAGGAGAAACTGCAGCTGAAGAGAAGCCTATTACCTGCCCAAAGGCCAGAGGTGGCCCCAGAAGCTAGAGCACCAGCTGTCTAGACAAGTGCAGCCAGGATGGACTTATGGTAAGATAAGTGGATTTGGAGATGAGGAGGGAAACCTGGTCAAAGACTAGGTTTTAAAAAGATGGGAGATGGAAAATTTGGGGGGGAAATTGGTCAACAACAGCAGTGCTAAACTCAACCAAATTAACGGCTGTATTCAAAATTGAGTTTAAATAATAAAATATGGCACATTAAACCAGCCTGTCTCCATAAATATATCAGGTTGATCTACTCATTGAACAAATACTTTTAACCAAATATATTTGGTCTATAGTCTGTGGCCAGCACTGTCCTAAGATCTAGAGGTATAATGGTAAATAAGATATCTGCCCTCAAGTATATTAACACTTAGAGGAAACAACCTACCTTTCTGGCAATGGCTATACAGTTTTATTAGTTAGGGTTATGTTCAGTAAAAATATCAATGGCTTAAATAAAATTAAAGTTTATTTCTTTTTCACAAAATTCCAGGTAAACAGTCCCAGGTTACTACGTGGACTCCACAATCATTAGGACCAAGAGCTCCTACTAACTTGCTCCATTCCCAATGCATGGCTTCCACCTTGTGGCTGAAGATTTTGGCTTCAGCTTCAGCCATTCCAGGCTGAAGGCATCTTGGCCTTTAGAGAGGATAAAAAGAAAGAAGGAAGGCATACTCCATGCCTTTAAGGATACTTCCCGGAAGTGACACATGATACTTCAATTATATGCCACAGGCTGAAAGTTAAACACATGGCCACATCTACTCACTGGAGAATTCTTTATGCTGATAAGGCATTGCCATCTAAATATATAAGGTTTTATGGTTTCACTGTGTGAAAGGCGGGGAGAATGGATATTCTTCACCGTGACATATATGACACAATACAGTAGGCATTGCATTGGGAGCTATAGCAGCTACTTTTAGGGACTTAGGGAGGCTTCAGGGAAGAGACCTAACTGGAAGCCTGAAGAACAACTAGGATAGTCTCAGAGGTGTGTAAGAGAGGGTGCATTCCAAGCAGAGAAAAGAGTTTATACAAAGACCCAGAAGCAAGAGAAAGCACAATGCATTGGAAAAGCCCAACATTGTTTTAAAAAATAGCATAGATACAAGATTGAAGCATGGGGAAAGATGAGTCGAAAATAAGCCTTAGGACAAAGAATCTGCTGGGAGTTTAGATATTCTATTAAGAAAAAGAAGTATCAAACAAGGAAATAACTTGATCAGATTTGCCCTTGAGAGATTC